TGGAGGATGCTTTGCCTCGCGGTGTCTCCCGAAGAGGCCGCGGCGGGCTCCCCCGAGGAGCCAAAGCTGCGGGCGGGGGGGGGGGGCGGCAGGCTCTGGGACGGTGGCGTTTTGGGCCCACGGAGGTTCGCCCGAAGTGGCAGAGGGTCTTTCGAAACGTCGACTGCCGAGCACGTGCTCCAGAATGACCTGCAGGAGCTCGTCCGGAGGAGGGTGGTCAAGTGGTATAGGGGTGGACTTTCGGGCTGGGGGGATGGTTTGGGACGAGTTGGCCACGTTCCTCTGGACTCAGCCCCCCAGCTGGGTCTCGGCAGCCTGGAAGACATGGCTTGGGGGATGGACGACAAACACTCGTATGCAACGACATGCGCGGTGCCTCCTGGGGTGCGATTGTCCAGATAATCTGCGCCATTATCTGCTCTCATGCCAGCCGCTGTCTGAATTGGTCGCCCTTGCCACCCGCCAGACCCCGCCAGCGGATCGGCTGCGTCGTCTCGGCCTCGTGGGGGAGGGTCTCTGGTGTTGCGTCGGTTTCTTCCACGGGTACCGCCTGCTTGCGCCCCTTGCCCGCTCTGCGTCCCGCTCCCTCACGCCCAGGGAAGCCCGTGGACGGGTACAGGCGATAGCTCTGGCCATGCGGATCGCGAGGAGGCAGCGGCATCGGTAGTTGCCATTGGTCTGACGTGGACTTTCCCGCACGCTGTGCCTCCTCCTCCTCCTCCTCCTCCTCCTCCTCCGTCCGCCTCCGACCCTGCCATCTTCCTCCTCAATTATCCTCCCCCCTCCTCCTCCTCCTCCTCTCCTCCTCCTCCTCCTCCTCTCCTCCTCCTCCTCCTCCTCCTCCTCCTCCTCCTGCTCCTCCTCTTCCTCCTCCTCCTCTTCCTCCTCCTCCTCCTCCTCCTCCTCTCCTCCTCCTCCTCCTCCTCCCTCCTCCTCCTCCTCCTCCTCCTCCTCCTCCTCCTCCTCCTCCTCCTCCTCCCTCCTCATCCTCCTACCTCCTCCTCCTCCTACCTCTCCTACCTCCTCTCCTCCTCCTCCTCCTCCTCCGCCTCCTCCTCCTCCCTCCTCCTCCTCCTCCTTCCTCCTCCTCCTCCTCCTCCTCCTCCTCATCCTCAGTCGTTTGCTGCCTCCTCCTTCCCTCCTTCTCCTCTCTCCCTCCTCCTCCTCCTCCTCCTCCTCCTCCTCCTCCTCCTCCTCCGCTCCTCCTCCTCCTCCTCCTCCTCCTCCTCCTCCTCCTCCTCCTCCTCCTCCGCCTCCTCCTCCTCCTCCTCCTCCTCCTCCTCCTCCTCCTCCTCCTCCTCCTCCTCCTCCTCCTCCTCCTCCCTCTGTCCTCACTCCTCCTCCTCCCCCCTCCGCTGCGGACTCGAATTCTCCCCACCAGCACCCCGATGCCGTGGCCCTTGCGCGTGGGGCGGAGGGAGGGAGGTGAGGGGGGCGTGGAGGAGGAGGAGGAGGAGGGTAGGAGGGGTAGGGTGAGGAGGAGGGTGAGAGTAAACTAGAGATGCTTCAGCGATGCTGCAACAGACACTCCCGCCCCTTCTTCACAACTGGTGGCGCGTGGAGGGGGGGGAAGTGAGGTGGGGCAGGCCTTCTCGGTGGGCGGCGAGGCTCCTCGAACGTTCTGTGGCCGTCCGAGAAGGAGGCCAGACCACCGTAGAGCATGCGTGCTGCCACACCAGGCTTGGGCGGTCTCGCGCTTCACATTCCTTCTCAGCGTCTTCCTCCTCGCCTTCTTCGCGCTCTTCCCCCCGCATCGTGACACAGGTGAGGGGATACAGTCGGGCCCCTGAAGAAGGAACCCTTTTCGTTGGGGAGGGGCTCCGTGCTCCTTCATTGTTTCACAGCTTGCCTCAGGTGTCCCTTTATGTTTTCGATGGGAATCGAAGTTCAACTTATGGTAAAAAGGGGCCTCGTTCCTTATTTAGGGTTCCTTAAGGTCATCGCCCCGACTGTATCCTGCAGGAGGGTACACTGACAGTCTCGGGGTACCTTGGGGGACCGCAGATCGACAGGACACACACGTGACGCCCCGAGCATGATTCTTGGAGTTCCGGCCCACTGCCAACAGGCGTGTGGTTCGACGTGTGAGGACCATGTTATTCGGAAGGGTCCCTCTCTCTCTCTCGCGTTCTGCCTCTCTCTCTCTATATAATATATATATATATATATATATTTATCTTGTTGTTTTTTTCGCTCTCTCACTCTCTGTGTCTGTCTCTCTCTCTCTCTTCGTTGTGCGTTTTGTTTGTTCTCTCTCTCTCTCTCTTACTTCGCGCTCGCGGCACAGGGGATCCCCTCAGTTAAGGTCTCTGAAGCAAGGATTCGTTACGACCAATTCCTTTTGTAAGGATCCGGGGCTGGTTAGTGAGGAGCCCCTCGACAGGAGGAAATGGGTGGGAGGCGTGGCGGCTCTCCCACAGAGCTCACAACACAGAGGGTGTCAGTGACAGGAGGAACTGTGTGCTCTCTCTTTCTCTCAGAGGAAATGTGTGCCCTTTCTTCTTCTTTTTTTTCTCTCTCTCTCTCTCTCTCTCTCAGCTCTCTCTCTCTCTCTCTATATACCTCCCTCCGTTTTCACATACACGCAAAGCCAAGCCAATGTAACCCCGATGGGACGCCATGCCAAAGCCTCCACTGGGGCCATTGCAAGAAGGCCTTCATAAGGATGCTTCTAGTAAGGGCCCGCATGACGCATTCCCTTTGGTGAAGGCTCCTGTGTAAGGACTTCTTAAGTACACGTGCATTAGCAAGACTGCCTACACCAGGGGGGCCTGACTGAGATTCCCTTCGGTGATGAGTCCTTCGAGGGGGTGCCTTCGATGCGCATGCGCCAGCAAGGGTGCCTTGAGCAATGGATCCGTAGTACGGATCCCTGTAGCGATTAATCCTTCTTGGGGGTGCCTCTGGTAAGGACCCCTTCAATAAGAACTTCTGTAGCGTTCACATGAGATAATTCGCGATGCTGGCCAGGAGACTGAAGTGAACCTTCAGCAGTCACCGATCGGATTTCCAAGTTAACACAGTTTTCACATATCAATAGGGCAGTGCAGCGCACGACGCGTGCCGATTGACTGGTCTGTCGTGTTCACATTCGAATAATCGCCGCGCTGGCCTGGAAACTAAAGTGAATCCTCAGCGGCGATCGATTGACTCTCCAGATTACCATGGGCTTTTCCATGCAAGCCATGCGGTGCACCTCGCGACGCCCGCAGGTGGCCAGCTCTGAAATGCCCACATCATAAAAGTCGCCACGTTGGCAGGAGGAGGGAAAGGAGAGGGAGTGCAGAAGGGGGGGAAGCGGGAGGGAGGGCGGGGGGATGGATGAGGAGGAGAAGGAGGAGTACCAGTGCAAACCCAAGAGTCACCAACGATGTTGGAGTAAACCATCCCTCCAAGCTCCATCTTCACAGGCCCTTACAACGGTTATTTTCCATTGATGGAGCTGCCTCGTTGGAAGACACCCGTTTGAGGACTTTGAAGCATGCCAAAACATTGTTCCCGGAATTCCAAGGCCACGGATCAACGTGATTGTGGCGTTTTGACGACCCTGGATCGTGCGAGAATGCCATTATTAGGATTTCAACACAAACAACCAACGTAACTATTGCACCCGCATAATCCGGAATCCGTCCAAAACACCATTTGCGGTTCGTTGATGATGCGAAGCAGGGAAATTCTTGCACTTTTTACAAACGAAAGTGCGCGGCGCTAAGGCGAGAGCCACATTTTGAAAAGGAACCGCATTCAATCCGTGAAACCCTTGAATTTGTTCCACAAGCGAACGTGCGCCGCGCAAAGTCGAGAGTAACATTTTGAAAGGCACCGCCTTCAATCCGTGAAACATTTGCAAAGTGTTAAAACGAATGTGCGCCGCTCCCAGGCGAGAGCCACATTTTGAAAACGACTTGCCCTCAACCCGCGAAATTCTTGCAATTTTGTAAAACGAACGTGCGCCACGCTAAGGCGAAGGCCACATTTTGAAAAATCACCCGCCCTCCATGTGTGAAAACGCTGCCATTCCTAATGCTGCGTAGTCATGAATGGTGATGAAGTTTCAGGCGAAACGCCCGGCCCGCCCTAAAAACTGGCTTCGGGGGTGCGACAGGGCGAAGTTATCACCAGTGCACACCCAAGACTCATCAGCGATGTTGGAATGCACCCTCCCTCCAAGCTCCCTCCTCATAGGCCCATTCGAGGATTCATTTCCACTGAGGGAAGCGCCCCGTTGGGGGACAAGCGTGTGAAAATCTGGAAGCGCGCCAGAACACCACTGTCAGAATGTCAGCGCCACGAGTCAAGTCAACCTGACCGTTACGTCTTGACCATCCAGAATCGTACTAGAACAGCATTCCTAGGACTTCCACGCCGCGAATCAACGTAACTGTTGTGCACTGACAATCCTGAACCGCTCCAGAACGCCATTTGTGGTACGTTTACCAAGAGAATCTGCGAAACTTCTGCAACCTGTTGAAAAGAATGCGCAGTGCACTAAGGCGGGAGCTAAAGTCTGACAAGGAACCGCCCTCGATCCGTGAAGTTCTTGCAGTTTGTTAAACGAACGTGCGCGGCGTGATGGAGAGAGCCACATGTTGAAAAGGAAACGCCCTCAATGTGTGAAGCTCTTGCACATGTACAGAACGAGTGTGCGCGGCGCTGAGGCGAGAGCCAAAGTTTGAAAACGCCGCACCGCCCTCAACCCGTGAACCTCTTGCAACTAATTGAGACGAACGCGCGCGGCGCTGAGGAGAGAGCCGCATTTTGAAATCGATTCCCCCTCAATCCGTGAAGCGGCTGCAAATTTGTGACGCGATTAATTGCGGCGCTGAACCGAGAGACACATGTTGGAAGCGACCCGCCCTCCATGTGTAAACTTGTTGCCATTTGTTTAGCTTGGTGCTCGTTATTGGTAAGGGAATCTCCCCACCCTTCGACTGGCTCTGGGGTGCGACAGGGCGAAGTTACTCGCAAGGGAAGGAATGGAGGAGGAGGAGGAGGAGGAGGTGGAAGAAAAGAGGACGAGGAGGAGGAGGAGGAGGAGGAGGAGGAGGAGGAGGAGCGGACGAGTAGCCGGCGGCGGCCACGTCATCGCCTTGGTCGGCGCCGTCTTCGTTGTTGAGGATAGCGACGATGATATCTCCGCCGCCACGGGCGCTTGCCGAATCAATAATCAATTCATTAATCGTCCCCTCTCCTCGCCGCCACCATCGCGGCTCCCTGGGAATTTGCAGAAGAGGCGCGGGGGAGGCAGGAGGAAGGATGCGGGACTGTCGGCCCTCGGCCCACGGCGATCACCATGTCAGCTCGTCAGCCCGCGACGCCCCCTTGCCCGGGGGCGGGAGAGCTCTGGGAGGGCCGGTGGTCGCTAAGCGGGGGCCCTTGACCAGTCTGAATCATCACCCCCCCGCTCCAAATTGTCAGCCTTCGGACCCCCCCTTGGCCTCCCGGACGGCCCTGGGACCGACCTGAATTGTCAGCCCTCCGTGGGCCGTGCTGCTTGGCGCGCTATTACGTATGGGGGCCGCGGGACCAGCGAAACTATAATCTTCCGCCCAAGCATTGTTCACAATCGCTTACCTCCAGTATCATCATCTTTGCCGCTTTTGTCGACGCCATCATGATTCCGCGCCCACCCGAGCCACCGACCCGCATTGAAACGCTCGTGCGCCAGCGCGACAGTTGACACACGCTGCGACCACGCCATCGGCAGCCCCATCGCAGCCGCATCGTGTGCCGAACAAGTTGGCCGCTCTGCGCGCGAGCTTGCGCGCGCCAGCGCCACCGCAGAGGTGCGCCAACCGTGGCCAAGCAGTCACCGCAGTCGACGCCGCATGGGTTTTGCAAAGCCCAATTGCGGGTGGAACGGTGGGATGATTGCGCGAGCAGTGGATTTGACATGTCATTAGATGACTTGACAGAAACCGTTCACATGCCATAGAGCGCTTACAAGGGCCCCCCACGCTGGAGACCCGCTCGTTCATGATTCCATCGAGTACTTCCGCCGACCAGGCCCTATACCCCCAACTATGTTGGAGCCGGTAGTTCTGGCAGCGCTGGTGTTGGTCCGTGGGCGTTTTCTATTTGCGGGCGGCTCTTGGCACGGCACTACGTTTGTGATTGCACTCTTGTCTCTTTATCCACCTCTTCCTCCTCCTCTACCTCCTCCTCCTCCTCCTGCCCCGCCTCCTCCTCTTCCTTCTCCTCCTCTTCTTCCCCCATCAGTATCTCCATCATCCCCTTTCCCTTCCTCCCGACGGCGGCGACGGCGACGGCGACGACGGCGGGGATGCTGACGACGGCGACGACGACGACGACGACGGCGGCAACGGCGACGGCGACGCGGCGGCGGCGGCGGTGGCGGCGGTCCGCAGGGCGGCGTGGAGCACTCCTGGCTGGACCCGAGCTTCTTCCGGGGCATTGGCCTGCTGATCGCGGTGCCCGCAGGGCCTCCTCTCGATCGCCGTCGATCGATCGAGCTTTGAGGTGCGAGGATCGAGGTACGAGGCTCGAGGCTCGAGGCTTCGTGGCCGTGGGGTGCTTGCGGGGGGCGCTCTCGTGGCCACTGCTCGACCCGCTTCGGAACTCTGCCCCGAGTGTCCCCCGGAAGACGTCGAGGGCCGCCACCGAGGATGCGGGATCGATGGCGTGCGTTCCTGGACGGCCTGGGCGGTCTGCCCTGGGGCCTCGGGGGGGGCACCCTTCGCTTGCCATCGCTCGGACGTGTCCATTTTTTCTCGGCGAGAACCATCGAGGACCATCCTGGACCATAAAGCAAAAAAGACACGCACGAAATCGACAAATGCACGGGATCTGGACGTCCGAGCGACGGCAAGTTCGCCGCCACGGCCAGCTCCGCCTGGACCTCCTGGGCCGGGGAGCGATCCAGGAGAGGCGCGGAGACGAGAATACCCTGACCTTCCAGAGAGCTATTTTTTAGCACTGGAGACCTAAAAACCCTAAAAGCTGAGCGAAACAGCCTAAAACCAAGACGTAGAATAGCTTTGGGACAGGTTTTTGAGTCGGGTGCTATTTTGTTAGCCATCCTGTAAGGTCAGGGTACGGCCGATCACGGCCGCTCCGGACCGGTCACGCACCACTCCGGGGCGGGCACTCCCACCGCCGAACAGGGGCCGAGCCCGACGTGAGGGACTCCCATCGGCCCCGGTCGCGTGCGGAAGCCCGCTTTCTGAGAGGATCGTTGCCCTTCCTCTCCACCTCCCACAGGCGAGGCGCCGCGCGGCCCGCCCTCGCCGCTGCAGCGGCGGCCCGTCCCGTCGGCCGCTCGGGTTCATGTTGTGGGTCGCCCGCCTCCGCGGGCGGCGAGCGCAGGCTCCCTCGCCGACCCGGTGCAGGGGGTATGCCGGTCGCTGTTTTTTTCATGCGGCCTCTGCGTCAGAGTTGCCATTGAGCACGGCGAATTTGCCATTCCCATCGTCCTCCTCCTCCTCTTCTTTCTCCTCCTCCTCCTCCTGCTCCTCCTCCTCCTCCTCCGCTACCGTCCGCAGCAGGGGACCTACCGCTCGCTCCTTCTCTTGTCGCGAGCTTCCCAGCGTGAAGTACTGCCATTGGGGGCCGCGAATTTACCATTCCCATCGTTCGACGACGACGACGACCTCTTCCGGCATGGGGCACCTTCGCTTGGAACGTTCCCAGGGGTCTTATTTGGAGGGCCTGATGTGTCGGGACCTGTGTCTGCAAGCGTTGTGTGCCGCATGTGTGTCGCTTTAGCCAGGGCCCGTCATGCATAGCTTACGGCGTCACTCAAGTAGTCTGAAGAACCTCATCTATTGGCCTCTTCTCTTTGAGCCGGCTTTCATTTTGCCCGAACCATATTTCTGACCGCCCCAGCGGCACCGAACCCGGCCTTCCCACACTTCCACAGGTCTCACCCCTTGCCGAAGTTTGGGGAGCCGTTTTCTTATCGCTCTGGGTGTCCCAAGACTGCGGCGCCTCCAGGGAAGCGCCGTCGTCCTTCCGCACCCAGAGGCCTCTGGGGTGCCTCAAAGTCGCCCCCAACACACACACACATCCAAAAGCCGCCCTCCAATACTTGACCGTCACCAGGGCCGCTTGGAGGGTGAAGAGCAGGCGGGGACGCGTGCACTGCCGCTGGCGACTGGAGGAATGTCTGCAGCGATCAAGGCTGCACCTGGCCGGGGAGGCTTCTTTTCCACCACCACCACCACCACGAGTTGGATGGGGGGAAGGAGGAGGAGGAGGAGGAGGAGGAGGAGGAGGAGGAGGAGGACGAGGAGGAGGACGAGGAGGAGGAGGACGAGGACCCCCTCCCCCTCCAACTCGTGGTGGACGGCGCGCAGAAGAAGCATCAGCGAGGCTGGTCGCCGCCCCCCTCCGTGCCCGCACCCCGGTCTGTTGCTTGCGTGCGGCTGTCGGCGGCCCCCGGCACATGATGCAGTCGTGTCCGCGCTCGTCGGGGTCGCATGATGTGCTCAAGGCCTGCCGGCTCCGGGTGAGGGGCTGAAAGACACACGCCTCCGTTTGAGTGGGGCGGTTGATGCACTCGGCCATGATCGCTTGTATCTGCCCCCGATGCTCCGAGGCCCCGCCCACCCCCGTCCTCCCGAGAGCCTCCCCAGGTCCTCCTGGGGAGGCTTCTGGCGTGTGATCCCAGCTCTCTGCGGGCCAGCCGAGTTTTGTTGATGGGTCTGGTACGCACAGCTCCTGGCTTGCCGAGGCCCGAGGGGAGCTCCTCGGTCGTTGCCCGCCCTCGCCCTGTTCTGCACGGTGGGCGTCTGGCGGCACAGATTTTCCGCAGGCCGCCCCACAGTCTCCAGTGATGCTCCTGGCTTGAGTTTCGGATTCGGAAGTGTGGGTGGGCGGCGGTGCGGATGGGGCACAATGGGTTTCTTTGTAGGGCTGGATATGGCTGGTTGCCTGGTCCGACCCAGTCTGTTGGCCGTTCGGAGAGGGTTGCCGTGCTACGTGGGCTTCAGTTGTTTCCGTCCTTGTGGTTCGCGGTCTCTCATCTCCCGGGTGCTGCGCGCGAGGGGGCTAAATTGGTCTCGAGCGCATGCTTCAGCGAGCGGAGCCCACGCTGGCATGTGGAGGCAGTTGTGTATAACTGGAGCTGCTCAGATGCCCCAGACCCCGCCTGTCTTCGCGTGGGTGCCAGCGCACTTCGATATTCCAGATTTTCTCGGGTGAGGGGAGCAGCCAGTCGAGTGGTGATTCGGTAACGCCTGGGCTGATTTCTTCGCCAAGGCGGGGGCCCTCAGCCATACGGTGTCTGATACGCATGTGGCTGCAGAGGCAGATGAGCTTCAAAATGCTAAGGATGCGGCCAAGTTTGTTTGGCCGGACTGCGGTGCAGAGCGCAGTTCAGAAACAGGTTTTGGATGGGCAGCCTAGGGCCTTGCGAAACCGTCCGTGGATCCTTCCTCCGCCTCCTGAGCCCCCCTTTCTTCCGATTCCGGGAGCGCGACTCTCATTTTTCGGGAGAGGTGCTCGTGTTTAGGACGTGCCTTGCAAAGGCGAAGACCGCTGCCACTCGTCGGCTTCCAACCTTCGGCGCTGGCAGGAAGTGCCAAGCCCTCCCCTCCGCAGCGCGAGCGCGCCCGCCTGGCCTTGCTTTGGTCCAGGGGGATGTGCACGCCGACGCTGAGCGCCAGGCCAGGCCCGAGGGTGTCCAGGTCGCGATGGCGTCGGCTGATGTTGTCCTGGTGCCTGGGTCTAGGGTTGAGTCGGGCCTGTCCCTCTACAGGGGGGATATTCGAAAGTAGTAAAAACTAGTCTGGGGACGATTTGTGGAGTATGTTGTTCACCATGTTTGAGCATTTGTTTAGTATGCTTATTTTCCGTCGGAAATCGGCCTGTAGGGGGACAGGCCCGACCTAAGTCTGGGGCGTCTGGGCCTTCGTCGGGGTCCGGGGGGGAAGGGGGATGCGGCTGGTGAGGCTTCGGCGCCTGCGCCCGGGAAGGGAGAGGGTGAGCTTGCTGGTCTCACCGCTCGGGGGCACCGCACGGGACGCAATGGGCCACTGTGATTTTGCCTGGCTTGTGGGGGCCGTCGCGCCCAGCGGTTCGGGCTCACGCTTACGGGTTTGTGTGTTCGCCCTCGGGATTCTTGGCCAAGGGGCCGCGCGAGGCCCCCGCCGACATCAGGAGGGCAAGCACCCTAAACGGAAAAGCCGTGTCGAAGCGTTGCTGTCCTTCGTGGTTCATTGTTCTGTTCTGGTGGGAGTCTTTGCGGCGTACTCTTGAGAGTGGCACCGTGACTCATCCTTTCTCTCAGCAGAGGCGCTCGCGGGCAACTGGCTTTCGCTCTCATGGCTAGTGCCTATCCTTCCCCTCCCCCCTCCCCTCCTCCCCTCTTGAAGGGCAGCGGACTTCCTCATCTCAAATGTTGTTTTCTCTGATCTGTTCTTCCAGATCGTCTTCCTTCCCTTGTCCACCAGTCTCTTGCTGGGCAGTGTCGCTCATCTTTCCCTTCCCCTCCTCCTCCTCGACTCCTCCGCCTCAACTCCTCCTCAGATCCTCCTCCTCCTCCTCCTCCTCCTCCTCCTCCTCCTCCTCCTCCTCCTCCCTCTCCTCCCTCCTCCTCCTCCTCCTCCTCCTCCTCCTCCTCCTCCTCCTCCTCCTGCTCCTCCCCTCCTCCTCCTCCTGCTCCTTGTCCTCCTCCTCCCTCCTCCTCCTCCTCCTCCTCCTCCTCCTCCTCCTCCTCCTCCTCCTCCTCCTCCTCCCTCTCTCATCCGATCCATCCCTTCTTTTCTTTCCTCAGGGATCACCCCGACCTGTCCCAGGGCCCGTCTTGACCAGCACCTCGATGCGTGCCCAGCCGTGGACGCGGGGAGACCACCAGAGGCCCAGAGAACGACGACGACGACGACGGCGACGGCGACGGCGAAAGGCGACGGCGACGGCGACAGCGAGGACGACGACACGCTGAGAGGCGCCAGCGCGAGAGGAGGGTGGAGGACCTCCCCGAGGAGCATCCGCGGGAACCGTGGCTCATGCGGGCCCGAGCGTCATCCTCTCGGGGCCCTTCGGTTGCCAAGTGCCCCCTGCCCGCGTCGCCGGTGGTCTGCGGCATGATCCCAGTCGCCGTACCCGTGGGGGGCGGCGTGGTACCGCCAGTACTGATGCCAGCGGCGAGCGCGGCAGTGCCGGTGGCGGCCTTGCCGGCAGCGCTGGCGGCGACGATGCCCGCCGCGTTCGGGCCCGCCGCGGGGGCGGCGCCGCTTCCCGTGGCGGCACTGCCGGGCCCGTGGCCGGGGCAGGTGGCCGTGCCCGTGCCCTTTCCGGGGGTCCCGGTGGCGATCATGAGCTGCGGCATGGGCCAGGCGGAGGGCGCGGAGTACGGGGAGGGGCCCGCCGCCCCGGCGCAGGAGCCTCACCAGAGAGGCCAGCCTGGTCCGACCTCGTTGTCCGCGCGCCCCTCCCGTGCAGCCCGATTGACCACGGGCGGCTGGCCCGCATCGTCCCAAGGCTGGTCGGCGCCGCGACCGGACCGTGCAGCGCAGCGCGCCCGCCGCCCGCGCGGTGGCGGCGTCGTGACCGCCCGGGCGCAGCCCTCCAGCCAGGGGCCCGCGTTCGGGCGGCTGCACAGGCTGCACCGCGACGCCCAGGACAGCGGCACCGTCAACGAGGACAGCCGCACGTTCACGAAGCAGTCCTACAACGGCCGCCTCTCGATCATCACGGAGGACCAGGTGCACTCGAGCGGAGTGTTGCGGTATGCCATCAAGTTTGCCAGCGGCGAGCTGAGTAGCGCTGACAGCGTGGGATTCGTATTTTCCGACAAGCTCCCGTGCCCGAGGAACATCCAGAAGCTCGTCTCCATCTTCGTCAACAGGACTGGGCGCATCTGCATGCGCGCCCTGTCGAACGTCGTGAGGTACGACATTGGCGTCAAGCAGCTCGAGGTGGGGGACTGGGTAGATCTGACTGTGGACCTGGAGGGCCGCATCGCGGAGTTCACCGTGTGGGACACCGAGAACAAGTCTGCTTCATCAGCGAGCTTCGCCTTCGGAACGGCTCTGCAGCAGATGATGCACGAGGTGCCCAACCTGCCGCAGGCATCGTGCGGGTACGCCGCCTGCGTCGTGAAGAACGTGGGCGTCACCGTGGCCCTGGGGTCGTGACCGCCCTCTGGCCGTTGGGTGGCGGCTGGGGGGGGGTGGCGTGGAGGATAGGAATTGACATGAAGAATAGATGGAGGAAGCATGTGCAGGGGAAGGAAGGTCAGCGTGCCTCTCGAGCACGCGTTTCTATCAGCGGCGCCTTCGAGTATTCAGTGGGCAGTTGGTACTTTGGTGGCATTGTGTGCAGTGGCGGTGCTTCAGACATCTTCCTAACGTGCTCAGTCAGACAAGCACTTCGCACCGCTGCTGCGCACCCTGCCTGCGCTCAGCCTTCTGAGCTGTTGTTTCTATCGAGTGGTATTGGGACCGTGTTTTTTTGACTCTTTGTACAGGCATTTGTCGATGGTTGGCTAGTCGACCTCCTTGCTTGAGACAGCAAGTACTTTACGCACAACAGGGGGTGAGGGGAAGAAGATCAGCGGAAGGAGGACGAGGAGGATGCGGATGTGGGAGCTGTCCAAGCAAGGAGGGCCAGCGCAAGAAGGTGTTGAGCTAATCAATTCGAGCAAGCGCGCGTCACTTCTCCGACACTAGAACCACTTTTTAAAAACGAATTGTGATGCCATCGACGTCTTGTACAGGCAAGTCAACTACGTCGGCCCCAGCCGCGATATAGAGGCCATACCCTTTGTGGCTATGCGTGCTGAAGGTGCATCGGCGACCAAAACGCTTCTCTCGGCAGGAGCAGCGGGTCGTCAGATCGGGGCGCATCCAGTGGTGTTTCGAACCAGACTTTGAGCGCTGCGATGACGAGTAGGAGTCGCCGCCCTCGATCACAAGTTGTCGCTCATGGCCTGGGGCTGCATTGTTGTGCGTGCCCTCGCGCGCAGATGCCCGCCTCGCTGTTTGCCGTGCGGAACCAAGCTGCGGACAGCCCCAGCCGCTTGCGCATTTTACTGCGGAGGAGGAGGAGGAGGAGAAGAAGAAGAAGAAGGAGGACGAGGAGGAGGAGGAGGAAGAGGAACAGCAGCAGGAGGAGGGCGGGGAGGAGTTGGGAGAAGCACGGGGGAGGAGTTCCCAGAGCGAGCCGTGGCAAGGCCCTGTGGGGCGGCCCTCTGCCGAGAGGCCCCGCCTCGAGAGGGGGCCGAAGGCGAGCTGCGCCCCCGCGGCCGGGCGAGCTCGGCCAGCTTGGAGTCGGAGGCCCGCTCTGTGGCCAGCCCGAGGCGAAGCCGACGAGCGCGGCCCTAGGTTCGACGAAGAAAAAACCACATAAACATAAACTTTTGGGGCTCCGCGCGGATTTCTTGGATCCGCGCCTGGGCCCCCTCCCGGCGGCGCCTCCGGCGCCGCCCCTGGCGCGCTCCGCGCGCCATGGAGGGGGGCCCAGCGCGAATCCAGGAAATCCGCGCGGAGCGCCAACAGTTTATGTTATGTGTTTTTTTATTTTTCTACTGGTGGCTCACCCCTGCGCTCGCCTCGAGCTTCGGGGGTGGACAGAACCCCCACCCTGACACGTCGATCAGTGACTTGTCCGTGTTCGGTTCTCAACAGAGGGCGCCGCGGCCGTCACTTTCCAGGCTTGCGCCCGCCAGGTTTGGGCCCGAGGCCGTTTTCACTGAACCACGCTTTAGTTACTAAAGGAGGTTCTTCAGGAGGGAAAAAACACACAGACACAATTGTCGATTCCCCAGAAAACATAGGAAAATATGGGAAGTGGGGGGGAAGACAAAAACCCAGAAAATATTGGAAACTATGGGGAATCCTTTTATTTGTGTGTATTTATTTGGGTGTCCCAAGGCCCCTTTATAAAGGGGGTCCTGTCCATCCCCGAGCCGTTGTGCGCTCGAGACCTGCTGTGACGCCCCCCTGCCTCCCGTCTGGGGGCCCGCTCGCCCGCCGCCGCCCAGCAGGCTTCGGCAAGCCCGGGGCAGGCGGGGCCCACCGCGAGCGGGTGGGAGCCGGTCGGAGCCAGACGTCTCCAGGCCTTTTCGCTTCGCAAAAGTATCGTTACGTCGGGCCTGTCCCCCTACAGGGGGATTGTCGACGAAAAATCAAAAACACCCCCAAACTAATCCAAAAGTAGTCCAAAAATAGTCTGGGGACGTTTTTTCGAGTATTGTTTTACCTTCCTGGGGTATTTTTGGGGTATTCTAATTTTTTCGTCGAAAATCCCGCTGTAGGGGGACACGCCCGACCTAAAAATATCGCAACGGAGGGTGCTGGACAATATTTGACCTCAGGAGCCCTTGCCGGGCCCAAGGGCCACGACAAACGGCTCGGGGCGAGCAAGGATGCCCCGGGGAACGGGTCGAGGCTTCTTGGGGTCCGCGTTGCGAGAAAGAGTGCCACGCTGGGCGCTCCTGGCTTTGCGAGGCGTGTGCACCCGGGCATCTCGTCCCTCTCGCCAGGGCCAGCTTCTCAACACGAGCACCAATCTCGAGACTTTGAGGAGGAGGAGGAGGAGGAGGAGGCGGAGGAGGAGGAGGAGGAGGAGGAGGAGGAGGAGGAGGGGGAGGAGGAGGAGGAGGAGGAGGGGGCGAAGCGTCGCATTCAAAAGGCCGCTTCGCGGTTGGTGAAATGCCGGACGTATGGAGGAGGTGCTGCTCTCTTTGCACCATGAGAGCGCCGCCTGTGTCACAAGATTGGCCGGTGTCGAACGAGCTGCAGCATCGTGGAGCCGAGATCGTTCAAGGGTGAACGATTCGCGTAGTTTCAGAAACCATCGCGGAGGTCGTCATGACACGAACCTGCCAGAATGCGGGATGGTAACTTAGAAATGCCGTGAGGAGCCCGTCACGCAGCAGCGCTCTGGGCGATTGGCGATACACTGAAGTGAAGACCTGCTCGTCGTCGTCATCGTGTCTTCTCTGTAGGGGTCGTAGACGTTGCTTCTGTGGCTCGTGGTCTCCCGCATGGGATCCTGTATGTCGGAGGTTGATAGACCTCCTACCCTGACACGTCGATTAGCGAATTGGCAGCTCTCTGTTCGCGAGAGGGCGTCGCGGCCGTCATTTTGCGTGTCCAGGTCCGTGGGTTTCGGTCCTAGGCCGTTTTCATTAGAGGGTTGTTTATTAAAGGGAGGTTTGTCCACCGCCGAGTATGGTCTACCGCATGTTTTTCTTATGACTCACGCGTGGTGTATAGTCTCCTACGTGGTCTCCCGCATGGTCGCCCTTGTGGTCTCTCCGTAAGCTCTCCTTATACGGTCCCCCGTACGTATGGTTCAGGGGAACGTAAAACTCGAGTACGCTGGAACTCGGGTCTGCCGACGACTTCTTGACGAGCGCGTCCTGGCTTTTGACGGTCAGTTTCCGTGGGATGTCTACAGCGGGAGTTCGCGTCAAATTTCAGATTGGGTCTCGTCGTTTTCATGATGACCCCGTCAATCCAAGTCGAGTCCTCCGGACCCGAGTCTTACGCCTACCCGAAGGGTCTCCCGCATGGTATCTCCGATGGTCTCCCGTAGAGTCCCCCGCAAGAGTGTCTGTATCAGTATCTGTATCATTATGTATCACTGCCCTCTTCAGTATCACAAAGAGCTGCTAGCGCCAAGGATGACATTGCTTGCTCGTCCTCCTGAAAGCCATCCCTAGAGTCGGCTCACTATCGTAAAATATAGTCCCACATTTGTTTCCGGGAGGGGCAGACTGCCATCCTACATCTCCTCAATTGGGAGATTCGCCGCTTCCTTGCGCTCGTCCCCTCCAGCCCGGGCTCGCCCCCTCCTGCCTGGGGGAGGTGTTCCCGTCTTTCTGCACCAAGTGTCACTCGTTCCTTTGGAGGCCTGGACATGGGCACCAACACCAACACAGGGGTTTGCCTCCACCGCGGGAAGATGATCCTAGAGTTCGGTGCTGGTGGCAATGCTTCGGCCATCCAAGAATCCTGAATATCGCCTCTATCGCCGAGATCGGGGGCATCTTCCCTCGCTGGAGGCGCACTGCTGCTGTTGGTGCTGGTGTCAACCTCTGGCTCCGATTCCTCGCATGGCGCTTCTCAAGGTAGCACGACGGCTGCACGCTGGCCAGGCGTCCAACCCACACGGCCGCCGTGCCGACCTCCGCCTCCGCCTCCAGGAGGTTGTTGTGGAGCGACCTAAAGTCAGAGAAAAAACCTAAAAGACCTCCCCCTCCGAATCCGAGGCCTCCTCATCCTCGGGATCCTGGGCGGGTCGGGGAGCCGCCTCGCCTAGCGACCTGACCATGTCAAGGTCGCACTCCTGGAGGCCGAATGCATCGAGCACGGCCTGGCGGCAAGCGTAGCCGTGCCTGGGGGGCCGACTGCCCACCTGACCTGCGGCAGGAGAAGGCGAGGGGAGGCAACGAACACTCAGGAGGTCCCTCTCAGCCTCCGAGAGCCCTCGAGGCTGGGACACAACCAAATTCTTAGACGAGGCCCGACCGTGGGGGTGCCTGCCATCCCGAATTCTCTTCAGCTGATGCTTCACATGAGCGGAGCGAGGCCTGTGGTTGCACACAGCCACTAGCAGGTCGCCTGGCCTGTAGTCCTCACAGTAGGCCCCGCATTTCACACAGAAAACTATAGGCACTCCAGCACAGACGGGGCTCTCGATGACACAGCACATTAGAGCATGCCCTTGCAGGAAGAAGGCTGAGGTGGCCAGGTCGGCCCAGTCTAAGCAGCCCGTCCCTCCCGACACGAAGTCCACCCCCTCCCCGCCCACAGACTCCTCTATCTCTGGCTCGGGCTGAGGCGGCAACTCATGGGCCTCGGGAGCACAATTTTCCGAAAGAGCAAGGCCGACTGTGTCTAGACGACTCTCCGCCTGGCCCTGCAGGTGGACCTCTAATTGGGCAGCCCACTTGGCCGACTCTTTCACAAGACACTTGAACCCTCTGTACAAGTCTACATCTTGCTGGCAAAGTTGGTGCTTAGCAGCGCCCATCTGTGCATAGGAGTCGACCGAATCATTAGCTCGCTTTTCCCACATGGTCGTCTTGCCACCGTGGACATCCGAAATCGAGCAGTGAGCTGTCGTCTTAAACGCCGAAAAGTCTCCAGGAGAAAAACTGGACCAGAAGGGAACCCACAGGTGGGCCCTGGGCCCTCCAGCCGAGGCCCCCGCCCCTTGGCCACCCCAGAGGACGTCCAGAGTTCCCTGGCAGTCACAGTATAAACCTATCGGCGCCATCGCACACTGAACCAGCATGTACACAGCATAGTCTTCCCCGTCCTTAGCCGTTTGGCGAGGCCCATGGGAGAAGGGGACGGGTCCGTAACACGCCGAGATGACATTGCCCAGGGGATCGGCCTGGACTAAGGCCCAACCAGCCCTCGACAGCCCAGGGATCCCTGGCCAAGACGCGGACCCATCCGAAAAAATAGGCCACTGAGGCGGCCTGTCTCAGGCCTATTTATCCAAAACACAGTCTGTTCAGGCTCCTGGGCAGGGAAGAGCGCCAGCGGCGACGGAAAGATCGCGCGCGCGAATCTCTCGGCCA